AACGATGTCGGCGAAACGTTTGGGAATGTACCGCGTCCACGGTCCGACTTTGGAAATAATTATGTATAAAATGGACTCAAGACAAGGTTCGTTTCCTATACGTCTTCCTACCAATATGACCAAGTTGCGAAAACAAGGTCAAACAACTTCTATGGTAAAGATAGTTCATTTTCAATTAACAAGCGTGAAATAAATAATAAATTCACAATAGAATTCCTTTCCAACCATAGTTACAAAGCTAAGGTTGCAATGTTAAAATCTAGCAGATAGCAGGTAGGCTTGCAGATTAAATTCATCTTACCGAAGAGCTAAGAAGATTGAACCTTTTGTATCTGGAGCATAATTATCCTTTGAGCTTAATTGATAATAGCATATCTTTAATGAGGAATACATTTTCAGACGGAGACTATTTAATCGTAGAGAGGCTTGTCGTCATGTTTTCTTCCCAAGAAGATAAGAAAACTAATCAGGAAATGGGGGATAGAGACAATTTTCAAAGAAACTCTGAAACTTCGGCATTATCTTCTTTTACAAAGAAATATGCCCCACTATCAGGACCCGGCTGTTATGAGCTTGTATGCTTCTGTGGTCGACTCTATGTTGCCGAGACCGGTCGGACGATCAGCCAAGGATTAGTGGAGCACGCAAATTCTCGTAAAGGCAGGTGTGTCGAACGGTCACAAGTGGCCGAACACATGATACAGACTGGGTATGACAGAATGATCTCGTACGCAAATGTTTGTTACTTATGGTCTGTCTTCTATGAAACGCAAAATAAGATAGGCCATTGAAATAATAGATTAGGGAATACGTTGAACTTGATGAGTTGCGATAGAAAATTGAGTAAGTCACTTGCGCTTGATTGGAAGCAATAGGGGATGTTGAACCGCCGTCCAAAAGAAGACGACTCGAGTTACTACTCGCTCAACACATGCAATGCTCATCAGCGAAAACAGACGTGCCGGGCTACGCAATAGCAAACCAAGCTTCTTGGATCATTAAACGAAGATTAATGGGTTCAGAATGGTGGTTTCGTAACCTCACTTTCACGTATACACACTAGCATCCAATCATTTTAGCCAGGGTCACTTACACGTTAACGCATTCTTGGTCAGCCCTTTTCTTTTTTTTCTTGGGTAATTAAGCCTGGATGGCTCGGGGTTGATGTTACGTTTTTTTCTAATTACTCTGACTTATGACCGATTTTGCATACAAATGTAAACATACATAAACACAGTGACACATTAGAGTACATATACAACCAAACCTTTATATATCCATCTATATCTCTAATTTTGCTCGCAATGAGTATACATATATCATATAGCTCAGACAATGTTCGTCACATGACGAACGAAGGCTTAGTCCGTCTTCACCGAAACGTTGGAAGATGTCTCATTGACCACATCAACCTGAACGTCGTATTAAGGTCAAACATTTGTAGCACAACGCGAGTCAGCCGACGTCTTCTGGCGAGGTTGACCTACGAATCTCTTCATCATGTGCTTCCATACGGAATGAAAGTCTTTGCATCAATATCAGACATCATCTCCAAGGCTCATCTTGATTTAGCCTGAACTATCTCTGATCGACTGTTACACCTCAAGTGGAACTGGTCAATTTTAGCCTTGATGTCGGATTTATGTGACGGTCTTGTGACCGCTGGGCCCCATAACCATGATACGGCAGGATATAATCTCGATACGGAAACTTATGCCTCATTGCTACAAGTTTTGTTGGCTCACGTGAGTGGTGTGGATTTTAAGGAAGGTCACCCACTTTCCGATTTCATATTCTGCAGACTCTCTGCAGAAAAATGGATACCGAGAGATTAGAATTAACGTAACACATCGCATAGACAGGAAATGAAATAAATTGGAAGGCAGCAGAAAGAAGGGCCTCATGGTGAAAACACAAAGAAGTGGAAGATTAGGGAGGCTATTGAAATCCTTGGGAAGAAAAATCGAATAAACTGATTTAAGGAAGGTAGAGTTAGCAATAACTTTGCCTACTGCTTAAGCAAACCCAGGAAAAACAAGAGTACAGCAAGACTAGCAAAAAGGAGACTCCTGGATCAGGGATCTGTCGCTAACCGGAGGAAAAGAGATAGCAATGATAAAATGGGGGGAGGGGGATTTTCGGAAATCAAGCTAAGACGTCAGTGCATGATGTCTATTCGAATAAACCAGTACAACTTTGGGGTCCTGGCAGTCATAGAGCTAAGCAGACGGATAAGCAAACCGTCACAGAATTTCGGCGTTATAGCCAAATTGTACTAGAAATCCGCGTGCGACCAGAAATAGGCGTCCACAGTTTGCTCAGGTAACACAGATTTAATCAAGGAGACGATCCGTGAAAGCAGTGCCTGTTATCTGCAAGCATGGCAATCAGAACATAGGCGTTCTGCTCGGTGAGGCGGCAGTGTACGTGCTTCTATGATCTTGAGAAATAGCGCTTGGAGTAAATCGTACACGAGTGAAACCCGTCAACTATAAGGATAAAGAACGGATTACTCGACCATGAGGGTGATTTGCGTGAATAGCAGATGTGATGTGGCCACACTATATTCGCCAAAAAAGGCACACATTTTGACGAATGGAGTGTGAACAAGTCAGGAGTTGTGATAGGGCGGGAGTTGGATAATGGGGTAAGGAGTAGATTAATGGGCCAGGGCAGAAAGATGAGTGATGGTTTGATGGTTTTTGGCTGAACGTTGGTCAATGGATTGCCTTTATTTTTCCCCTTGACGAATTAGTAGCGTAGTGCGGAGAATGGTATTTCTGACTATTG